ATGCTCAGCCAATGGGGTTTGAGGCATGTTATATCAACAAGTCAACATAATGGATGATTTTGGTATCTTACATTTATAAGACGATTTTAGGAAATGATAAAAAATAGTTGTTAATCTTTTACCAAGGTTATATAACATACATATAATCGATCTCATATACCCGCCATTTGATGAATGAATCATCCAAAGAAAATATGAACGATGGAAGTAGTCAAGATTTCTTTTCTAGGGTGTTTGGAGACATGTTTTAATCACTTAAAGTTACTCGGTTTTAATTTTTTCATGAATAAAGGCTTGAATGAAAGTTGATTACAAGTTATTCGACCTAATTACTATTGGGCCCTCGTATTTACTCTAAGCCCGGAAAAGACACTATGAAGTATGAAATATGAATCTCAAAAGAAACATAAAAAATAGTATTTCTAAGGTATTACTTGATAATTCAATAGTTTGAATTGATAAGTACATCTAAACTATTAAATTATTGAATGGAGATCACAAAGAGAACGCGTGCAATGGAGGGGCTTCAACCTAACTCTTTCAACGACAACCTTCGCAAGCAAAATAGCTTCTTCATGTTGACGGTTTAAACCACGCGTCATACCATAGCGCGTTTTCTACTCTGCATTTTGAATTTAATAATTTATATAAGACAGCAATGACATAGAAGTGACCCCTAAACTCTCCGGTACTGGACTGTCCAGTACTGGAATGTAAGACCCAAATTTATTTGAAGATTATAAAGAAAAAAGTAATGGAATTTTTTTTGAAATCTAGACCATTAAAAATTTGCAAAGTACACTTGTTAGCATTTCTCCATTACAGGAGATATCCATATTCTTAATTATTTAGCCATGTCAACAGTTTCTTCAGATCATTCTACTATGAATTTATTTATTTACCCATGAAAATGTTTAAAGATTCCAACTCATAATTGTGTACAGCTCTTCTTTATCCATTTCCTATATATTCAACCACTTTCAAATGAAATCTGAACTGGCCAAGAATTTAACATTTTTATGCAAGTAATGTTGGTCACTTCAAATGATTCTCTTCACATTAGCCATAATTATCTCCCTGGACATGTTCATAGCTTTGACTAGTAATTTTAAAGCTTATTGTTGTTATGCTTATAGTTAACCTCCAGCTAACCAATATCACGTTCTCAACATTAACACACACAATGGAATTTAAATTAAAGTCACCCATATATTCAATAGAATTATGGGTGCTTAAAAAAAAGATCACTTGTTATCCATTAATCTAACGGTAAAAATGACAACTCAACTTACCAATAAAATAAAATTAAAAAATTCATGCCAACTCATTTTGTGAAAAATTTGATTGACTAGCATTTTTTGTCCCTTATACCAAAAGAACAAAAGAATATACAGGCCTATCTATCCATGTCAACCTTATAATTCATGAATAAGGATTACTTCTTCTAAAAAAAAAAAATCGCCCCCATGTTCCAAATTAACACGTTACATTAAGTAATATAAATAAAATTATTTTCTATTTTTTAAATTTTCTTTTTAATTAGGTGACAGTGTTTAGTTTGATTATTACACACTTGAGATATCAAAAATGAAAGAGATGATTTTCATTCATAATTCATGATGTTTTATTCCTAGTTTCTATCCCAACACATGTCAATAGGCGCCAGCATGAAGCCACCATTACAAATTAATTTTAATTTGAACTAATGATGGCTGAACCATATGACAGGAATAAAGGCACATTCCCCTCATCGAAACATATAAGTCAACTGTTTATTGTTAATTTGCCCTTAAGTTATGTTCCGAAATACAAATCCAAATTTCTGTTAGGAGATGCCCCTCAAATCATTTGAACCTATATGTTAACCACCGCAAGCAACTGCTTAAAGTCTTAAATAATTATCATACAAGCACACATTAAATTCAAGTTGTATGTTCAAAATTAAAAGTACCATTTCACATGGCAAGTTTTTAAAGAAATGATCATATATATAAGGTAGCATCATCCATAAAAAATATTATGATTTTAAATTAATATCTATGGTTCGATCTTGAATATAAAGTTTTTATATGGCTAGTAGATATTCATTATTTATGCATATTATTTTTGTTTAAAAGTGAATGTGAAAATAACGTATGAATAATAAACGATGTGTTGTGTTGACGATGCAAAAAAAACACTTCGGGACAGTGTATACACATTACATTCAAATATTATTTGAAGCTTACATTATTAAATAAAGTAGGTAAGTCAACTTGAAGTATTATTACGTTATATCACATCTTAGTCAATCACAAACCGCATGCATGGGCCAGCTCTATGAGTTGCCCTACTTATTGTAACTGAAACTGTGTTCTATAAATAACTGAGCACTATTCTGGAACCAATAAGAGAAAATCTGAAGTTTCACATCTTGTATTACATAGTTACTCTTGCAACCAAAGTGCACGAAATGGGAAGCAAGAATTATTCCTTGGTTTTGATTCTTGGTCTTCTAGCATTAATTGTACCAACTCATGCTCAACTACAACTTGGTTTCTATGCTAGAAGCTGCCCAAAAGCTGAGAAGATCATTTGGAAGTATATTCATGACCATATCCCAACTACTCCATCATTAGCAGCTGCACTATTAAGATTGCACTTCCATGACTGTTTTATCAGGGTATAGTATATATGCAGTTCAATTCAAGTCTGTGATTTCATTTCATTTCATTTACATTAGGTAATGAATATTTTGTTAATTAAACTGTGGAATTAACATATATATATATATATATATATATATAATTTCAGGGCTGTGATGCATCAGTGCTTGTGAACTCAACAAAAACTAATGCAGCTGAAAAGAGTGCTCCTCCAAATTTGACAGTTAGAGGTTTTGAATTCATTGACACCTTAAAGAGCCTTGTTGAAGCTGAATGCCCTGGGATAGTATCTTGTGCTGATATTGTAGCCTTGACAGCTAGAGACTCTGTACAAGCCATAGTAAGTGTAGTATTTTGTTTCATACTATTTGTTTCATCTAATAGCTTAACCTTTTTGAGAGATGGATATTTTTATATATAACATGGAATCACAACTTTGGAGAGATTATGAGATTATTATAAACTCTTGTTAGATAAGCTTATGAAAATAATATATTTTTAGTTTATTTCAAAAAAACTTATTAAATAAACAACTAATTAAGTCAAGGCATCTAGTATGATTATTGTGTCTAAACTTACTTTATGTGAATTGAAACTAAAACGTATTCTTTTGTTTGTTTTTATTGTAGGGGGGACCCTTTTGGAATGTTCCAACAGGTCGAAGGGATGGAGTAATCTCAAATTCAAACGAAGCCTTATTTGGTCTTCCTGCTCCATTTCACAACCTTACCACCCTCCTAACAACCTTTGCCAATGTTGGACTTGATGCCAATGATCTTGTTGTGCTCTCTGGTATGCCTTGCACATGCTATATATATGTACTACATATATATTATTTATATTTAAATGATAGAGATTTGCATATCATATTGTACCAAATACTTGTTGGTGTATACATGCAATATAGAATCAATGTTTACTAAGTTGTAAAAAAAACATTGTTTCTAAATATGAAAAGTATAATTCTTTCAGGGGGTCACACGATTGGTATTTCACACTGCTCAACAATCTCAACGCGCTTGTTTAATTTTAATGGTAAAGGTGGTCAAGACCCTGCTCTAGATAGTAAATATGCGACAAATCTTAAGAGCCATAGGTGCAAGAACATCAATGATAATACCACACTCATTGAGATGGACCCTGGAAGTCGCAATAATTTTGATGTTGGCTACTATAACCAAGTTGTTAAGAGAAGGGGTTTGTTCACATCAGATAATTCCTTGTTGGATAGCTCTGTTACAAGGTCTATTATCAACCAACAACTTCAATCACCTCAAAAATTCTTCATTGAATTTGGAAAATCTATGGAGAAAATGGGCCGAATTAATGTGTTGACTGGGAGACAAGGACAAATTAGGAAGCATTGTGCATTTATAAATAAATAGCTAAGAAATCTTGTGGATCATCCATGCATCATGTAACATTCCAACGCAACTTGTATGTCTAATTTTCAATTTAGCATTTATTTTTGGGTCTGATTATTTATGTTATGCCAGGGAGTGTGTCTTAGTGTGACATATCCTATGGTGTCGGTATTTTTTAAATTCTATGGGAACAATATTGTGTGTTGAAAATACATCTTCCTGATTGAAGTAATTTTGTTGTTGTTAAGTATGAGGTGTTTCTCCAATAAATATAATTCGGTGTTTCTATATATGTACCGCTCTAAGTTAAGTTCTCCTTATTTTCTGAATGCATGAATGCTCTCTGAAGGAAATGCTCTTACGTCTTTTTATAAAATGAAAATAAGAGTTTTGTAGAGGCTAAGGACAAACGGAATATAAGAAGAAAAAAATGGAATGAAATAGATAAAAAAGAGTTATCTTATCCTTTGTGTTAAGGGCTGAATATAAAGAATCAAAATTGGTAAAAAAAAAATATTGACAGACTTTGCCACAGTATATGCTGGTGCTTCTGCATGATAATAAAGAATTAGGATCCTCTCAGACTTTGGTACATCTTGCTAACATGTACCTAACTGAAAATGCATTTTCCTCATGTTAACAAAGCAGATATATATATATATATATATACACATTTTTTTAAAAGGAACATATTATTATTAGAGGAAAATGAAAAGAATATGGAATGGAATGGGTTGTTTGAAAGTAAAGTCCGGCCCAATAATATAAGCCCATATAAACGCCGCAACCCTAGTTTATATACCTTCACCCTTCTCTGCCTATTTAACCAAATCAAACCCTTTTTCCAGTCTCATAGTTTTTCTTAGATCTCTTAATGTGTTTGTCATATGCTTAGGAAAATAGTCATTTTATTAGATGCGCTATCTGCATTTCTTTTGTTTTCGCCTAAGTTTTTTCTTTCTATTGTGACTATTTCAAAGTTTAAATCATTGTGTGTGCGGTGAAGATGCAATTTTCGTGGACTAGAGTTTCTGATCTGGGCAATTAACTCAGAAGTTGATTATAAAACCCTTGGCTGTCTGAGCACATTTTAAATCCCCAAATTTTTACTTAATTCTTCTCCTTCCGGAAAATAAAAATTCTTCATTTTTTAGGTTTTGCTTCGCTTCCTACATCTCATATTTTTTGTTGTTGAAATTGGTTGAGAAAATTCTTGGCTTATGATGATAACATAAATTATCTTAGCGGATTTCAGTGAGATTTCGATCAATGATCTGATTGTTACACACACTGAAGCCTTTCTTATAGTTCCTAATTTCGATTTTCATCTTTAAATATAAAGTATTAATGTTATTGGTTGCAATGATGTGACAAAAACACAATGGTGTTATTAGGCAGTGGACGTTGCCATTTGGTAGCGCCGTGAGCCTATATTTTAACGACTTCTCCTTCCACTGAGCACTATATTATTACTTTATTTATTGTTATTGATTTGAATGAATTATATTTGTCACTAATTATTGGTATGTGATTGCGTCCATTACCAATTCCGGGGATATTATGTTCCTCCTGGATAATGGCTTGGACGCTATAATTTTGATGTGGTCATCCTGATTTATGGTTTCTTTAAAGTATCATTTGGTCTTGGAAACGCCACCTACATTTTGACTTTCTATACCATTTTCTCGTTTCTTTTTACATTTCAGGCATTTATAAAATCTGACACTTTTACTTTTTTTTACATCTCATTACTGGGCTCTTAGATTTTGCATCTTCAACGATATCTGTTGCTAATGATGAATTTAGTTGCTCTCTTATTTAGTGGGTTTTGGTTGAATGTCAGAGAAATGAGAATTTATTTGAGGTGATGTAGAACAATTAGTAGAAAAGGGTTGAACATTTGTGTTTGATTGTGTAAGGAAAGTGAAATTGCATTAAGGGTAAAGGCTATTTAATGTAGGTCTTGAAATTGTGAGCTTTTGATGGCACTAGTGAAGTAGTGGAGAAATGGATAATAGAATTAACAATTGAATAATGAGAATATACTTATTGAACTAACGAAAACTACGGGGTGTCAAAAGAAGGCGCCCCGAAGCTAATCGAACCATCGCTATGTTTAAGAATCAAGTAATGGTGATTGAAAACAGACAAATCTAACACTATCTAAATCTTCTATCTGTAATGATCAAAATGGTTGTTGATTGTGTCGAGCTAATGAAAGCATTATGAATGAAGTGACTCCATCAGGAAACTATTTACGAGCTATTTAATAAAACACATGAAATTATTAGCTTTTTGATGGCATTAGTGAAGACTTGAGAATTGAAGGGCATGGATAATAGAATGACATAGTTATTATTGATTTATTAGTATATTATGTAGTTAACAGAGGAAAATTGAAGGAACTTGAAAGCACATAATTAGTATTGATTATGGAGAAGAGAAGTTTATATTGCCTACTTAAAACAATAAAATAAATGCATGAGGCCATGCGAAGTAAGATCAGAAGCCCCATCCATTTTTTCTACATTCCAAAAAGGAGGATCTTGGAGGGGAACAAAACTAAAGAAAATTCAAGTAATCATCTTCCTCAAGCAAATCAAACAAAGATGTAAAGTTTACTTTTTCTTTTCCTACCCTCAAAAACTCATTTAACTCCAAAATCACCATCCCAAGTCTCTACTTTGTGATGATTTTGTTGTGGTGTAAATCAAGTGAATTGATCTGATGACATAAGATTTTAAACGTACCAATCTGCAAATTAATTGCAGACACCACTCTGGAATGAAAACAGCATTATCAGCTTTAATACATAATTGGGGGTATCTTCAATCCATGAGGAGTTGAGGGTAAGATTTAAACATTAAGGAGGAAATTAGCTCCCAAGTTTTAAAATTTAGGTAAGTATTGCAATTCTTGATATAAAAATTATAAATTAAATGGCTTATGCACCAACTTTGTTAATGATGATAGTTCATGAAAAAAATGTTTATGATAGTAATATTTGACCAATCTGTTGTGAAACTAGAGTTCATATTCTCGTTCCTGTATGGCAATTTATTTTTTGCATGAAATATATATGCCCGATATGATGGCAACCCCAGCCACGGCAACACCAACAGATGTAAATATTTTAATTGCAGAGAAAGCCGGTTTGGGAGATGGAACTGTCATGAGATCCTTCATCTGGAAACAGTAAAGCAAATTTATGTAAGAAAATCTGATAATGAGTAATAAAAAAGTAGTAACCATGATTTTGGAAGGAAAGAAATTTCAAAATAAGTAGTCTGAGATCCACTCAGAACGGGTAGAATGGGAGAAGTTGATAATGTTTTTTGTGCAAATTTACTTTTCTTAATTCCAATACATCTACTTTGAAATATACACAGGATAACCTTCAGTATTTATTACAGCTATTATACAATAGAAATGACTAAATGTTCACTGACCACGATTGGTTGCTTCCAATGTTTCTTTATTCCTTGTAGATGCCCCTTTCCAACAACCGCTACAACTAAGCTATTCTCACTCGCCACTTTTAATAATGTAGAGGACATATACCTGGATACACACATTATTAGGCCATACTATAGACTGCAGAGTAAAAAATAGTATTCACAACACCACCAGAAGATAGAGGATGCTACTTGAGACAATTATGGTTATGTATTTTTTTTCAAGCTGAAATATGAGTTTTTTGATATTAAATGTACAGTTAACTAACCTATTAATTGACCTGCGCTGCAAACAACACTATGTTCTTCGGTGATAAAGATAGTGCACCGCCATAGATAATGAAAATACCTTTTTAGATAACATTGTTCCTCATAATCTTAGGGACTACGATCTAATGCTCAGTGCCTCATTGCATCTGTAGAGAATCTATTTCACTTAGGGTCTATTTGTGAAATGATTTTTGGAGGGGAAGGAAGGGAGAGGGAAGACCTAAGAGTCATTTCACAAGTATATTTCATGGCTCTCAAGTCTTTCCCTTCCATCCATTAACCTAAGAGCTGTACTATATGATATTTTTAAAAAAAATCCTCCATATTATGATTAACTAAATTATTTTCGATCTCCTATGATGTGAAACAAAAGTATTGGGAGGGTAGAAGTCCAATGTATTTGGATTCAGATCCTCAGGGTTAGGTGGCTAGCACATGCAGAAAAGGCCACTAAAAAATGGCGGCGTGACGCATGAGGCTCCTACGTAGTGGGGTCTTGGGAGTTGGGAGGGTAGATGCACGCAGCCTTACCCCCCACAAGCGAAGAGACTGTTTCCATAATCCCTCGTCAAAATGGTAACATAACTAAGGTTGACAAATGATAAGGAAAGCAGGTGACAAGTAAAAGATGGGATAAATGAAAATGTTAATTGAATTAGCAGCAACAGAACATACTGATCACGTTCATGCACAAGAGTCTCCATTAAAGTCGGAAACTCCTTACTCATCTCTTGAATAACAAGAGTTAGCATGTCACTGTCATCCATTTCCTTCAGCTGAAGAAAGCAAAACAACGTTAGGACGTTGGCAAGAACTTAAAACTAGCATGATCAATTCACACTCATCTCTAGTGTATGAGGAGTATGAAATTTACCATTTTATTCAGATCATCAGAGCTGGGCAAAAAAACTGCTTGAAAAAGTAAAGAGTACACCAATTTTGTCTTGTGCCAAAGTGGCATCTTACTCCATGTTCTTCTTAGAGTAACCTGTCTTGATCAATATCAAATACATAAATATTTCAACAAGAAAGTTCTAAAGCTTAACCACGCAATACAAAACAAGTTGAAAGCACACATAATAAAATAGTAAATAATGAAAAGTAGACGTTACAAAATTGCACCATTTTAATATTTCAATGATTAAAGAAGCAAGAATTTAGATTAAACTTGTAAGCATGATCTAGAGGGCATTTTAGGAAATTGAGGACTTCAAAAAACATATATCTCACATGGCAACAGTAAGAATGCTACGTTGTGACCCAGTGGTTATAACAGTCTATACTTCATTATAATTTTATAAGTAAATCCCACAACCGAAACACAAAGAAAAGAGAGATAGAAGCCAACGGAGCTCGGAGGAAAAAATGGTGGTGGCAACTGGCAAGTGGAATGAAGACTGAACAGACAGAAGCTGTCACTGGAAAACAGAAACAACGGAGCTCAGAGGAGGAAGGAATGGTGGAATGCTGTGTTTAAGAAACTTTATGTGGGTTAGGTTTTGCAATTGTGGATTTGTTCGTTCAATGGCCGCATTTTCCAATATTTGTCCGCATTTGTGGTAAAGACTACATAATCACAATAGTTTGAAACCTTTCTAGGTGGTGTACTTTGATGGATTGTGATTAGTTTTAGTAAACTCAATCCATTGAAAACAAATTCATGCTGAATTGGATTGGGTTTTCATAATTACTCGATACTCTGGGAATAAGAGATACTCAAATATATCAACTCTTTATAGTATAATATTTTAAATTTAAAGGGGACATAAATATTTCCAGCACTCATAAAAGTGAAATAAAAAACTAATCTAACCTGTACGGGGCGATCACCGAGTATCACCCTGCCACCATACTTCATAGCCTCTTCATATGCCACTCGAAACTCAGCTCCAGGAAAGACCTCAAGCTGACTAGCAATCTGTTAGAAATTAGTAGGGAGAAGAAGCATAGCATGTGAGAAATACAGCACTCTTGAATAAGAATGAATAAAAGAGTGCCCAAATGCACGGGGCTGCCACCTAGTAGAGTTCAACGAGGGTAGATATATGCAGCCTTACCCTCGCAAGCAGAGCGGTTGTTTCCAGGATTTGAACTCATGACCTCTTGGTCACTAAACAACAACCTTAAATTGCTCCGAGATAAAGTACTCCAACCAGAGAAACATACCTTGGCAAGGAACCAACTATAAAGGACTTCAAACAGGTTATGTTTTTTCTTCAACATTGCAGTCATTTGTCCTACAGTGGGCACCTGGATGAAGCAGAGAATAACAAACTATAAGAACCAAAGTCAGGGGAATTAGTTATGCTACCATGGTTATTGAATTGTGAGTCACTTTACAAATCAGAAGGCCGATTTTCCAAATCATGAATCATATATTCATGACCAACTACTAAATATATTTTTAACATAATATTGTAAAACTAGGCATAGAGTAATTTTTTATTTCCTTTTCTATCTACATTATTTATTGGGGTTTCTTTTTCAATCCTCTCTCTTATTGTCCTGAGATTCTGCATTTCAGCTTTCAGCATGTGATTATGGAAATAAAATAAAAACACTATATGATGTGTGTTGATGAATGGGAACTCAAAATGAATCACATGAATCAAATCATGTGATTCTGACTACCACGGATGCCTACAGTTAAATAAAACATATACAACAATTGCAACCATAAGGTGGTTGCCAAAGGAAAAGATAATTGTTTTATCTTTTATGCAAAGGTAAAAATAAACAACTGATAAGTTGAAAGCTAGACCGTTTCAATCATCAAGGGAGGCTGAAAATCCCTACAAAGAAAGTGATAAAAATTACAAAATTTGAACAGTAGTAACCTTGAGATTTTGAAGGGTAAGCATTGCCACACGACTTGAGCATAATTCTAAGAAGACAACCTGCAGCCAAACCAAAGCCAACCATATGGTTTCATCATAAAAA